CCACAACTCGTTAGTGACTCTTTACAATAAACAGGCATAATCATCAGTTTAATATCAATGTGCTGATAAGTTGTATGTTACCTTCAAAAGTCCCCCAGAATATTTTTCTTCTTTCTTTTTAACTAATTGCTGACTTTCCTTAAAACCTCTTCAACTAAAAAAGTTAATTAGCCACCTTGGCTCCATTCATTTATTAAAAATGTAGTGGTTCCATAATAATACATCATGTTGATTTTCTTCTACCTTACATTTTAATTTTTCTATGAACTTTTTTTTCAAGGTTTTATTTACTTATTTTTAGACAGAGGGAAAGGGTGGGAGAGAGGGAGAGAAACATTAATGTGTGGTGGGCTCTCGTGCGCCCCCTACTAGGGACCTGGCCCGAAACCCAGGCACGTGGCCTAAGAATTGAACCAGCAACACTTTGGTTCACAGGCTAGCGCTCAATCCACTGAGCCACACCAGCCAGAACCTAACTCACATTTTTTAAAAAACTATTTAACAATTATCATTTTAGTGACCCTAACTTTTCAGAATTTCCTGAACCATCTGAATTAAAGGTATAGAATGAAATAAGCACTGCCAAGAGATTAACTCTAACATATAAGAGATGTAAACTGGGAGGAGGAGGTCTACTATCAGAATATGCATATATGAGTTCCATCGTCAGCTATGCTTCCAAGCAGCCATACATGTGACCTTGAACAGGTACTAATTTTTGTCTCCATTTACTCATCTGCAGTTTAAAAATAAGTTTGCCAAATCTACTTCAGAAGGACCAAATATACATAAAATAATTTCCAAACCAATAAAGCACCACACAAAGGTATTTTAAACTTTGACATGAACATCTTCAGATCTTAAATGGATGTTTGATTTATCCTTCTTTTTACATCTCTGCCACTCTGTTTCCTAGATCAAAGATCTTCTAGTACAGGGAAGATACAATTTCAACCTATACTTATATTGCAAATATAGTAGGTCCTTAAGTAAATAATTATTGAAAAAGATGCTCATCCACATATAATAAAAATTTTATCTTCTGCTACTTGTAATACCTTACCCTTACCTTGTGAAGTTTAAGCAGCAGGTTATTTCAAATAAAATAACAAGTGACTAACACACCTAAGAGATGCTTGTGGTTTTGCCAGGAACATTGCCTTCCTTTGTGTACATCATTCAGTGTAAATGTGACTATTAACCTATGTGAATATCACCCAAGGAATGTGCTTTGGTATTTTGGTTTCACTGGAGACATACTTTCTGCATAGAAAAGCCTGTCCTCTCTCTAACAGGAGAGTAAGATTTCTAAAGACGCCAGATTTGTTCTTCCAGTTTTACTTCCTATGCTTCCGTACTCAGAACTTTTGGTGGACTTGTAATTTCTCAAACCACTGTCATTCTTACAATACTTATTAAGAAAAGTTTATTTTGGAAAACCATAAATAAAAAGATAGTCTAAAACTTATATGTTAAGATTATCTAAACATACAATAATGCCTCAAAAATAAAATTTTAAGATTATTTAACTTTAGTTAGTTCTTGATTATCTATATATACACACACAGGTGCCTTACAGATCATCCATTAATAATTTATATTAAACCTCTGGATGATGGTTTTGTATTTACAGTTGAATTTCTTGTGATACCGAGATACAGCTGAGTATCCTTAACATGCAAAATTCTTGATAGTTCAAGCCAAATAATGACACCTCTAAAAGCAGTCACCCAACTCAGCCTTCCTATCACTTTTCTTCCTATCATTTACCCAACTACATTCTGAAAAGACTCCTACTTTGTTACAAAAGATGGACTTTCTGTGCTCATTTCTGGTCCTTATATCTATTATAGCTCAAGGGACATTCCTAAAATAAACATGGGCCATAAAAAAATTTTCCAAGTATAAAGGACACATGGACAACAAATAAGGGGGGGTGGAAATGGGAGGGAGGTGGGGAGCACGGGGGGGGGCTGGGATGGGAGCAAAAGACAGAAAACTGTACTTGAACAATAATTAAATAATTTTTTAAAAATTTTCCAAATAGTACAGGTGACAATTTAATCATAACCTGAAAACAAGTCTTTCCCCCGCTAGGATCACAGAGATATTTAACATTTAAAAGATATCTACTGTATTTATAGGCAACAATCTATCTCATATGAAGAAATATTTTAAAGTTCTTTCCTAAACAGTAGCACTATACTATTCCTTTTAACTATAATGAAAGCCAGTGTTACATTACAGCCTAATTTTAGTTCCTATAAACCCATCAAAATAAAAAGTATACAATATGTATTATATTCTGGAATTTACACCAGAAATGATAAAGCGACACCACATCATCATTCAAGGCTGTCGTCCTAAGAATGAAAAAGCAAATCCATAATTCAAAATTAGTTCCAGAACCACATTCATGGCCTATATCATCCACACTCCTGTGTGCTTTCTTCAAACCTCAAGCTACACACATTCTTTTTTTTTTTTTAGATGATGGTTAATTTCTTTCACTTTTTTAAAAAAGATTTTATGTATTTGTTTTTAGAGAGAGGGAAAGGGAGGGGAGTAAGAGAGGGCCAGAAATCAATGTGTGGTTGCCTTTCATATGCCCCCTACTGGGGACCTGACCTGCAACCCAGGCATGTACTCTGACTGTGGATCAAACCAGCGACCCTTTGGTTTGCAGTCTGGTGCTCAATCCACTGAGCCTCACCAGCCAGGGATCAAGCTATATTCCTGAACACAGTACCAGTTTTGCAGGCTTATTTTAACATTCTACCAAATGAACTGAGATCAAAGCAACTTGGTCTTCTGGAAAGGACAGTGGTCTCAAGGTCAGAAAACCTGAGTGTGAATCCAAGCTTTGTCCTGGAGTTAATATCCTTGAGCAAATATTTAACTCTCTAAGCCTAAATTTCCTCCAGTGTAAAAGGACAAGACCACCCACCTTGAATTATTTTGGAGATCAAGTTCTCTAGGCAGCATTCTAATTAGGGCCAATGCCTAATAAATGGACGACAGTCTTACACTACTGAAGAGCCAGTTCACAAATTATGAAGTATCTCATTGAGAGAATCAAAATCAAAATGTATGAAATTTATAAAGTTGTAGTACTTTTTTCAATCTTTTACTTAAAATGTTTTAATATACAGAAATGAGAAATTCACAAAGGTTGGAAACCTTTTTAAAATAGGCATTTTACATAACAAAAATGGAGCTTCAATTATCAACAGTGAAAACTAGTTAATTGAAAAAAACGTTTCTGGTGCTTCCATGGTCAGTTTAAAACTTTCAAAAGAAAGTTGTATTTTACAACCCAGAGACAGCCCAGTTATCTAAACAATGGGCTACATGATACACCACAGTCTCCAAGCAAAGTCACAACAGGATGAGAAAGGAGCCTTCAGCCTCTCTCAGATTTCCTGGCCACTGTTATTTTAAAACTTGATCACATAAACATAAACAGAGGAAAAAAATCCATTTCATTTAAGCCTCCTGAGTTATAATTTATGATCTGTTTTTAATCATTTGTATTAATTTACATTAAATACTGCACTAGCTTATTATATCTCCCTTACTCATATTTGTACACACAAGTGAAAAATATATTTGTTATATATAGTTGGAAATACTAATACTTATAGTTTTTAATCATGATAATCTTTTCTTGAAGTCATTCATCACTTTTGTCACTCCCTATTTAGTTTTGCAAACAACAATGTAACAAAAAGCTAAGAGAATAAATAGCATGTCACATAGAACATAAAAATGCAACAAGCAAATCTGAGTACGATGAAAATGACTTCTGTTTACTGATGTGCATGTAATTCCTGCACAACTGAAAACTCTTAAAATGGGCTGTATATTTAAAAGTCAATGAGTTATTTTGAACACTTGCATTGTTTTAAGCTCTGGCTACAGCTCAATTTGTGGTGTGTGTAAAGTGAATGATAAAGGACACCAAAGTAATTTTTTCACTAAACGGTTTCCAATTTGAAAACCACAATTCAAGACATCTATGAAGTTTAGTTAATTTGTACAGACATGCTGTTTTGCTGCCAACCTTTGTACCATGACCATTACCAGCCTAAGTTCAAGATTCACATTTTATGGTGTGACTAGTGTTGGCTGAATCTTAATTTTTAAAACTCTCTAACCCTAACTATATACTGCATCTACCCCACTGGAGCATAAAAGCAAATGAAACTTTAATTTAGTATGTGCAGCAGCAGTCTGTTAAAATGGGGCCGTATTCCTAATTATTCACTAATACCTACAGATCCTGAAGCACTCCTCCACCACAAACTTTAACTCAAGTAAAATGTAATGTGTTTCTGAAACTACATGGAAGTATTTTTGACACGGATGTTCGAGATACAACCCTATCAAATGATTTCCTATTTAAAAACCTGGAATAGAGTATTCTCATTGTTTTAAGGAGTTTTGAAAATTAACGTATACAAAAAATATTGTTAAGTAACATACGCAAATTAACTTACTCAAAGTACAGGACCACCTAAAGACTAACAATACAAATTCAGACAGTCCCAGCCTGGTCTCCTACACGATTAAACTATTAATGGCAGCAGCTGATCTTCACATCCCAGAACAAATGATACTATTTCTGCACTGAATTTTAAGCTTGTTTACGAAAGAGAAAACTAACACGGAGGGACCACGGCAGAGTCGGACACCTGAGTGCTCCGCTTCTACCCGGGAGCCAGTGAAGATACACAAAGGTATCTTGGCGATGATAAACCCATGAAAGGAGCCTCTCACTGTCCGGTGGAAATGAGAGCCAGCCCTGTGCTACCCTGGGCAGCCGCCGCCGCCACCAAAACCGCCCGGGCCCACCTATCACCTGCTTCACCCACCCGCGTCCACGGGAGGTGAAACCGTCCGAGTACCTGATCCGCCCGCGGGAGTCCTCAAAGCGGGGAGACCAGGGGGAGCGAGGCCCCGGCGCTGACGCCCCGCAGGAGGGGCTCCGGGACACTCACCGGTGCGGACAGGAAGGCAGGTGCGCGGTGGCGGGGCTACCTGTCGCCGGTGAGGTTGGCGGGCGGGGTGAGAATGAGACTGAGGTGAAGGGAAAGGGCGAGGACGCGGACGAGCACAGGTACCGGGCGGCGGAGGCTTCTACTTGCTTCCTGCTCGGACCGATGCCGGGTCCGTCTCCGCCCGCGACCGGCGCCCCACCGAGTCCCCGGCCTCTCCGCGCGCACGTCACGGCTACGGAGCGCCCGAGGGGGCGGGGGCGCCGCGGGCCGGGGCGGGACGGCCGGGAGCGCGGGGGTGCGGGGCAGCGCTCCGGGAGGGGGCGCTCGGAGCCGGGCCCGCCCCGCCCCTCCCCTCCGCTTGCCCGGCCTTGCGAAGCGGAGCTTCGGGGCTTGGGGCGGGGGCTGTGGCTCGGAGCGGGCGGCCGCTGGCCTGCCCGGGAGTTCCAGTGTTTCCCCCTGCGCAGAGGCCGTAGCCGCTGTTACTGTAAAGCAAGTCCTCTCCGGACGGGATGCGGTGACTTTCCAGACCGGTAACAAGCAGAATCATTTCAGGGAGGGAGAACGTTGTTCAACGAGGGGGCAAGGACCCCGAGTTGTTCAAGGGCTGGCGGAAGCGACACAGTATCGTAGCAGAGAGAAAAACCGAGGCAACGTCGGCCGCAGTCCAAGTTCGCTTGGGCCGGGCTGCCTGTGAAGGAAGTAACCTTCCTGGACCACCAGTTTGGGTTTCTGCTTTGGGGGGAAGGGACTCTGAGATGAAAATTTTGTATTTTTTTACACTCTGCCCCCCCCCATTTACTTAGGGGGGCATTGTCGTTTAAGTTTTACTGTTTCCGTCAATTCTACACCTGTGAGTCATATTTGAAAATTAAATATGAAGTAGCTGTGCAAAATTGAATGACATAGTGAAAACGTACATTGCCTTTACGATGAAAAGAACCTTCTTTTAAGAAAATGGGAAATGGGAATTTACTGTAATGATAAATGATTCCACTGAAAAAAAAAAGCTAGAGTTACCTACACATGAGAACTACATGTTATTTCTGCAACGTTTTCGAGTAGCAACTAGAAAACTTCAGGAGATCTAGAAGACAAGATCCTGATAGGAGACAAGTTTCAGATACTCAGATGTTCCATAGTTCTTATGGTTGAAAAGTTATGAGGAGATACTTTTGCATACAACTGAAGCAATAAAACATTAACCAAATAGGGAAGTAAGAAATAAGAGAAACCAAGAAAGGAAATAATTTACAGCAATCTCAGAAATTTAATTCTACATTGCCAAGAGGTAAATCTTAAGCATATAAAACTAGGTTTTAAAACGAATAGGGAAAAAAAGAGAAAAGAATGAGGACAGGTTTCATTCAGTTCACTGCTTTGACTTCATTTTGGATGTAAGATTAAAAGGCTTCAACAGAGCAATAGAAGCTTATACAGTTTATTGTAATGACATGGGATTTTTTTTCTTTTCTTTGTCCCCCACTTCCAATCCATTACTGAGTCCCTTTGCCTCTAGTTACATATATCTTCAGTGTAGCCATTTCCTCTTTATAGCTACTACCAATGTCTCATTTCAGGCCATCATCATATTAGGTCTTGCATACTATTTTAGCTACCTAACCAAATCTTTTTCCAAGCTGCAATCTCCTCCACTTCTAACTTTTCTCCAGTCTCTACAATGCCACCAAGTTTATGTTTTATAAAATATAAGTCTGATTATTTACTCCTCTTTTTAAACTCCTGTAGTGGCACTCCACTACCCTTAGTATAAAGTCCTTAAGATTCCTTTCCTGATCCTTGGACTATTTTTGTGTGACTAGCAAAGTAGAGATCTTTTGTTAAAATGCGATTAAATTGAATGCCCCTTTATTGTTTCCCCCCACTGTCCCTGTCCTAAACCCTATAAAGCTGTCCTAACCAAGCTTCTTCACACAATGTTACCTGCCTGTCTTGGAAATTACTTGCATTTTTGAACCACTGTCTTTGACTTGCTTACTCCTCTCTCATTTCTACCCACTACCCTTCTCCATTTCTTGTACTTTACATTCAAGCCATTGTGTAGTGCTTGCGTGTCCAGAACAAGCAGCATTACCACTATTACATTAGAGTTTTGCCACATTAACTCCAATTAATCCTTCAGAACAAAGCCTATTGACTCCTCCAGGAAGTTTTCCCTAACTCCCTTATTCCAAAACTTAGGTGCAATTTGGTGCTCTCTCCCATCTCTCTTAGCACCCACTGCACATATCTCTTCCAACACTTATTACTGCTACTTTAGTTTACTTCTAAGTATCCTCCAACTGAGCTGTAAACTCCTTGAGGGCAGAATACGGGACTTGTGTGTCCCTGTGTCCCAAGAGCCAAGCATGATGACGTTCACATGGTAGGCACTCATTAAACAGTGCCTATTATTATTATTACTGAATAAAATTAGACAAGTGAACAAATAGCAAGAGTATTGACAATACTGGGAAATTGCATATACTGTCATTAAGCATGATAGACATCACTGTGTCACATTTACTGCCAAATCTTAACAGTTTATTTCATATGTAGGTTTTATGTAGGTTTTTCAACTTTGTTCTAACCCATTAAATATTTGGAAGATTCTTTTTTCAGAGTCTCCTTGTGCTATCCCCCCCGAAACCATATGCACAATTTTTTCTCATGTTTGTAGAAATGTATAGTGTAGGCATGTAAAGAGTCTCTAAACTTTCCCTGGCTGATACCCACTTTAACAGCTTTAACTTCATCTGTTACCAACTCTTAAAGTAAGGCAAGCTGAACACCCCAAAGAAATTCATTTTCTTTTCCCTCTTAACTGCCTCAAATGATTTCCTTGTCAAAAGACCCTATTATAATTATGGTATTACCAACCACTAGTCTTAACAAGTTGTGGCTTTTAAGTCACCAGAGACTCCTTCCCTTCCTCACTCCTAATTTTGGATTCACCATCTTCCTTTAGAGCAGGCCATCATCTTTTATCTGAACTTATGATGTTCCCTCTGCTCATTCTAGTCCATTCTTTCACCACTCGTAGAGTGGTACTCCTCCCTCCAAATCTAATTATGTATACCAAATACACTGTATACCAAATCCTGGTGACTTTCAGATCAGTTAAAACTCACTTATATAGAATCCTTCACAATCCTGAACCTGTCCACATCTTAGGAATTCAAATATACCAACCCCTTCATGATGCTCCTCTCAATCTTCAAAACAGTCTAATTTCTCTGTCCCGACTCTGGCAGAATTGTTTTTTCTTTTCCCCACTTTCTAGAGCATCCACTTTCTACCTATGTTAGAACACTTATTAAGTGGTTTTAAAATTGTTTTTATATTTGTTTGCTCCATAAAAGCTCTCTAAAATACTTATCTTTTAAAGAAATTCTGTCCAGCCCTGGCTGGTGTGACTCAATGGATTGTGTGCCAGCCTGCAAATCTAAAGGTTGCCTGTTTGATTCCCAGTCAGGGCACATGCCTGGGTTGCAGGCCAGTTCCCAGCAGAGGACGCATGAGAGGCAACCATACATTGATATTTCTCTCCCACTCTTTCTCCTTCCCTTCCCCTCTAAAGATAAATAAATAAAATATTTTTTAAAAATTCTGTCCTATTATTGTTATCCATACAGATTAGCACATTACTTTGTCTCAATGAATTAATGATAACAATGCTGAAATTTATTGAATGCTATGTGCCAGCACTGTGCTAAGCACTTTACATATATCATCCCATTAAATTTTCACCACCCTTTGAGGTGATGTGAGCGTTTGCTTTTTGCCTCTCTAGCTTCTGTACTCCCATCCTATTTGTGGAGAATTCCTAATTTTGAGTCTTGGTGGGAGTAAGGTCTACCGCATACTTTAGCAAGTGAATTTGGCCAAAGTCCTTCTCCCCACTATCTAGCAACCAGGGTTAGGTCAATCAGATGCCCTCACCTGAAACTTGAATTCTGGATAAATTGATACAAAGATGCAGAGACAGATAATTCACAGTGGTGTGGATAATTGTAGCAAACAGGGTCTGCTTGTGACAGTGCCAACAGCGACATTCTAAATGATGAGCTGGCACATTTTACACACCTCAGTGATTCTGGGAGCTACATGATATTCTACCAATACACTGTTTTTCTGGATAATTTAGCCAGAGTTTGTTTCTGTTATCTTCAACCAAAAACACCAATTAATACAGAAAAGTTCTATCATTATCCCAATCTTATAAAAGAGGAATGAGTGGGCACTCAAGTGTTTATTTAATGAATAAATGAATGAATGTTTACATTGTAACTTCTAAAAGAAGTTTTGATCATTGGCTCGGTTATTACCAAGTTTGCATTAATGGTAATCATTTGGAATTTATAGGGAAATAAGCAGATCCCTAAAGAGATAGACATGATTTTTCCCTTAGACCATTATTATCTTAGCTCAGCCTCATATAGCACCAACATCTGCATCTCCCATATTTGAAAAAAGAAAAAAATAACTAATGATTGATTTAATCACTGTTAATTCATTAATATTTTCTGTAAAAAATCAACATCATCCTTGAATTTACTCTAGAAAATAGGCTAATCTACTTTTAAAATATTTTCCGTATAAAGAACAAAATTAAAGCTAAATGTCATTTATCAATAGATACTTTTTAAAAACAATTCCTTAACCAGATCACTAAATATTCCTTATTATTCTAGCCCCTAGAAATTTCTGTAACTATAGTTTCTCTTATTTAAACTTCTAATTTTTCCTGTTCTTAGTGTCATTATAATTAAAACTGAAACAACAGCACAAGTATAACCAAAGATCACTTCAAACTCTTTAATTGAACTGTCAAATGACTTTAAAGTAATCTTTCATCTTATTTGTTATTATCTTGATCTTCAGCTCAAGCACAGTAATTTAAAGAAAGGCGGAGAAGGATCGATTTTTTCTTCTTCACACTTAAATGGGTCAAATGTAACCTAACCAAATTGTAGATATTAAAAACACAAAGGAGTGAAGGCCATTCTGAAGGTGCAGAATTATATTAAAATTTATTTAACATGAAATGAATGTGTGAGGAAAAACCAGGTTCCAGGCCTGACTGTCCAGGTCCATGATCTGTATAAATAAATCACTTAAGTCTCACTGATACTCACTTTTATTCGTGGATAAAATAGCAATAATAATAATACCTCCTCCTCAGAGAAAGGACTCAGTAAGATAATGCAAAAATGGAAGCATTTTGCAAACTAAAACAAG